CCAAAGCTTCACAGGGGGTTGCAGGGCTTTCTTGGTTTTAAGGGGTGTAAGAAAACGTAAACTTAACTTTTTAAAGATCTAAAATTTGAAGACCTGAACTTGCGCTATATTCAGAGAGTCTTCACTCTCACTAAACTACCTACTAAGTTTCTTTTAAATGTTTGCTATGGTGAAAAAACAAATTGTCTGTATTCACAAATAAATTATGTGAGACACAAACATACTCATATACAGTGAGGCAAGTTTTAAGTATTTCTTAAAAACCTGAATAATCCCACCGTTAACTGATGTAAATAACTAAGATAAATTGTAACTGGATGTGTTGTAATGTTTAGTTTTTTCTTTTTATACATTTTTAAATGTCTTTGAGACTTTTATATATATTATTATGTGCCTTCTTTGTATATAGGTTTTGTTGTGTGCGGACCACAGGCGAGAGTAGCTGCTACCTTGGTGGCAGCTAATCTGGATTCAGGATTAAAGAATAAAGAATAAACACCTTCACTGAACAGCCTCAACCTGCATTAGAAAAAATATGCAATTAAACAACCAAGGAGCTAATAGCTAGAGTCAAGAAAACACTGAGTTTGACAAAACAGAAGCCTATGAAGTATGTGTTAAATATTCAAAACAGACGGACAGATTTGTATATAAGGTTTCTAGAAATACTGTATCAGTAAAACACATCTGTGATGCAATATTGACAGGAAATAATGTGCACTGCACATATATTATATATATATATATATATATATATATATATATATTATATGAAAATATACATATAATATGTCACTTAGCCATGGGTCATCTGTGATAAAAACAAAAAAAAACTCTTACTGGTTTGAGCTCCTCCCGGTTGACCTTGCGCCGGTAAAGCAGCAGGGCAGTAATGGTATTGCCTGCCCTGGCTGCCTGCACCGGAGTGGGGGTCACATACAGAAAGTCCTGAAAGCACGTACACAGGAAGTCACAACTAAGACTAACATAGATCTTTGTTTATGAGGACATATGAAGAACAAGGGTAAAATGTTGGACAATTTTTTTTAAGTGACTGTAAACAGGAAGAACCAGTGAGGGGGCGGAGGGGGGTAAGGACAGGATTGTTAAGACCAGAAGGAAGAACTGTGAGAAGGAAAGACGTCCAGACATTTTGGCTCGTCTGCTACTCAAGCTGAGGATAACAAAAGAAAAGAAAAAAGGAAGTTACCATGCCATAGTAGTTACTGTTGACCATTAAGGGACATCGGCTCCTCAAGTAGATGTACTCCTCCCACCAGTCGCTCACCTGGAACCAAAACAGGACATTTTTTTTATATTTCGTATACCCGGTCCAGTATACAACTTGTGCAGTGTGTCGTAGAAACTCGAAGCATACAAGATAAGATATAAGATTGCAGCCTCATACTGTACCCCCTTTTAACAATGTACGCCAACGTTTTAAAAAAAAAAAAACTATTTCTTTGTATTTTTATATTAAAATCTCAAAATTTTGTCTTTCTGTAAAACAAAATGTGACACATGTTTATGTAAAACTAACCGATTTCAACCAATGATATCAGTCATATGTCAATCATTCTTCAACTTTAGCAACACAGAGCGAAGATTCATGCCAGCTTAAACTGTCCTCCGTCGGCTTGCCTAAAAAATCATTTGAATGATCAGTCGAGTGTCAACGTGGTTGCGTTAATGTTTTCAGCTCTTGCGTGTACACTTACATAGTTGGTGGCCCACAGAGCTTTGAGCCTCAGGTAGCGCTGCAGGCGGTTTCCCAGGTTAGCTTCGAAGTGATTGGCCAGTTTGGTCATTCGTTTAAACTCCGGATCGGTCAACAGGGGGCGCACCGACTCCAGGTACTGAGAGAAAACAGTGCCTCAGTTATTTCACTTCTTAATTTAAAACACTCTGTACAGTATATACATAGACGCTGTGTGTGAAGATGAGCCGAACGAAGAGGCGTGACGTGCGTTCCTGCGCGCGTCCACTCACCCTGGTCAGCGTGTCTTTGATGGCAGGAACCGGCAGGTGAGGCAGAGAGGTCTGATAACTGTACAGCAGAGGCTTCCTGCTCGATAATAACCTCAGCAGAGTCTGAGAGAAAAGACAGAGGGAGACTCACAATGTAACAGAATCTCATTTTACTGGGATGAGTAAGAATAAACTATGGGGATGACAGCCCCTGCCTTTTTAAAACATTCTTTGCATTATGGCTGGCTGATATGACTAAAATCTCAAATCCTGATAACTATATTATATATATATATATATATCACAATATATGATGAATTAATACCACATGGACATCATACTATATTTTAAATGAAGAGAGATTTGATTATTTTTCTGATTAAACGCGTAAGAAAATATAAAATATTTATATGTCTCATGAAGACTTCCAGCGACCCATTTTGCAGAGTAACACAGAGTGTTATCTGGCTCCGGATACAGTGGATAATGAAGTACGAAGTAGGCAAATCATTCGGCACCATACTGGTTTCACTTTTGATAGTTTCCACAGACTCAACCTTCTCCGCACGAAGCTGTTTTTATGAACTGTGTTCAGTTCACTTTTATACTTTATAAAGCAACCTCCAGGAGAGATGGATAAGAGGCAGGATGAAGCGAGCCTGGTGCGTGTGTGCACAGCAGACCACTGTTGCTGGTTGTGAGTGTGTGTGTGTGTGTATATGGGGGATAGAGACAGCAAGGTGAGCAGATTAAAGTAGTTTGTGAATAAACAGGAGTGAAAGGCTTGCTTTGCATTGCATCCCCCGCCTCATCAGCTCCTTCTGAAACGTCATACGATATATATCATTATATCATACAGGCCCTACTTTTTCGCTGTGTCATATTTAATAGTATGCTGTTGCAGCTACCAAAGTGGAGGAACCACCCAGACTACAAAGTGGACGAACCACGCAGGCTTACCACCCAGACTTTGGTGACGTTGGAGACTCGGCCGTGCTGCTCGAACATCCACTGGTGGTAGGAGAGCAGCAGTTTGAGGCAGAATCTGAGCGCCAGGATGAGAGAGAGCCACAGCAGGGTGCTGAAGACCAGCACCGACACCATGGTCTGCCCCTGTGAACTGAGAGAAACATGGAGACTGGACAGAGGAGGAGGGGGGGGTTGGTTACTGGCAAAGTAGACTTAGAACAGAGTGTCTGTTAAAAAGATAAGTATGCACTTCCTTTTAAACCCATTTGTGCCCACATGTGGAATTTTGTTTTTGCAGGGTGAAATGGGCTTGTCTGTGTACAAATCTGAAGAAGTTTAAAAAAAAAAAATAGGTCAGACCACGTGGCTGAAAATTTTAGATTTAGTCTTTGGGCACATGGACTGTAGAAAATTCTCTAGAATAAGCAGTAAAACCATTGTTAGTCAGACACCACTGAAACTGATGGAGGAAGTGTGTC